CCCCGCCCCCCGCCCCCTCCAGTAAGCCATCAGTTGCTACAGGCAGCTGAATCCTTGTCTAGGATCAAAATCTGCACCAGATATACATAGCAGTAGGGAAAATAAGTCCTAGTAATCAGATAACCAAAACTGGATTAAATCGTTATTTCATTTTCTGCCCTGTGGAGCAGAGTTTGACACAGTTGAAGATGTTTGATTTACCACTTTGAAGAACTCTAGACTGGGGTTCAGCTGCTTCCTGTAGCAATTAATGTCCTGCAAATAAGTTTCTGGTACAAATATGAGTAAGATTTGAAAAAGTACCTGACCCAGAGTCTCAATATGTATTGACCTAAGTGAATATCATATACCTGATTTTGTATCTTTTAAATATATTGCAATATAAGATATTTACCCAGCAGATTTTGCATTTCACTTGCAATACATATTCATATCTTTCCTTTGGTTCTTCATCTTCCTCTTGTACCATTTGTCCCAAGGACTACCCACCCATCCCTTTTTGTGCCTGTCAGATATTCTACATCATTATTTAAACAGTGCAATCATAATAAAATATGCAAGTTGTACTTCTAAAAATTTTCATTTTATGTAGTTAAAGTGGAATTTGCATTTTCTTCATGCAGAAATTGTCTTTGTGGGAGCAGAATATATCCAGCTGTGTACGTGTGTATACATATCACACACACAAACACAGCTATTTTTCACAAGCAAGCATTTCCTTAAGAAGCAAGCCTAAGTTCTAGGTACGTGCGTTCCTGACTACAAATCTACACACATTACAAATCCCTCATCCCAGTAAAGACCAAAGACAGCACATGGGCACCATCAGAATGTATGTTTATATATAATATATATTTACTTTTAAAAATAAAACTTCCATTGTAAGGCTAGAGGTCTGTACAAACTACAAAAATAAATCTTTTTTCTTTTCCATATAAATAATTTAGATGGCATGACAACATTTCAGGTTAAAAGGTCTCCAGCAAGCCTCTACATACTCACATGCACACTCACACACAAATACACACACAACATGCCCCATTCCCACTATTCCCTTATGCTTTGCTGGTCCCAGTCTTGGGGTGGAGAGGGAAGCACCGTTTCTATTGTGGGTTACCTAGAAACACTTTGCCGATTTTAGGCAGTGGGTGAATGTAAAGGAGAACAGGAGAAGAGGGAGGACATGTCAGTTGTTAAATCCTATCCTTGACAGTAGTTTTACGGTGGGAAAACTGAACAAATTCAAACAGGTGGTCAACCCCTGTCACGTGGCAAACTCCTGTGCAAAGGGAAACCTCTCCAGACCCCAGAAAACACTGGTAGCTTTTAGTTGAATTGTCTTGATCTATTTTAACAGGAAATTTAATCCCACTGAAACTGCCAAGACAGTTCACACAACCAAAATGTGAAAACCTCACCAGAATCTCCCTTGGCAGCAAGCAAGGGGTAAGGAATCTGGAGTAATATGTGGAATGAAATTACAGTAGTTACTGGGCAGAAGAGGGGGTTTAAAGTGCTTGGGCTTTAGAAGGAATGACATCACTGGGGAAACGGATTTCAGGGTGAATTGGTCCAACTTTCTCTTGTAAGTGATAGCTGGTTGGCTGTGATGCCTCTGAGTCCCAGGAGGCACATCATTTTATCCAGAATTTGACACAAAGCCCCAAGGAAACAGTCATGCCAGCAAGAATATCAGTACAGGAGGTCTAGTGTTTGTGCAGAATGATGCTGAACAACTTCTATAACTGTAGGTGGTTTCTTGAAGCCTACAGTCCCCAAACCTGTAATCAGGGCTAGCTTGAGCTATTTTGTTACCCTAGGGCTAAAAGGGCTAGGGCTAAAATTGCAGCCCTAGGCTACAATTTAGTTTTGCTCCCTGTCCCTGCATCTTGTGTAAGTTGGGAGGCTGTTTCTTCCTCAAGGAGACAACAGTGTCTAGTACATGGGAGAAACTATGTCCCTTTCCTTTTAGGGTTTTCCCAAGCAGTTGCCCACTGTCTGTTGAACTGAAGCAACTCTGCCGGTAATGAAATTATCAGAATTCCAGCTTTACTTCTAGTGTATTGTTCTCATCAAAATACTTGTTGAAAACTGCAGCATTCTAGCAGTTCCAAAAACCAGCAGATGAAAAAATGGAACATTTTAAAAAACAGATATACAGTGGATGCAAACTAAAATAGGGAGGAGCAGCAGTTCAATAAAGGACTGTTGGTAACATGTATAGGATTGTGGCCCATAAAGACTTTTGCACTAGCTGCCTCTCTTTCCTTTACAGCAGGCCAGAAAAAATAATAATATATATATATTTAATCCAGAAAGTTTTGTGTTTCAATACAGAGGATGTGAACCATTATTTTGCAATGCCCAGGGCAGAGCTGGCCAGAAAACAGCACTTGAAATTGCATACAAAATTCAGATTTCTGCCCTGAAGTAGAATGGAAAAACTGAAACCTTTCATAAAATAATTTTTGTTACAGGGAAACCAAGCATATGGGATGGAAATGGAATTAGTCCTTTAGAACCAATCTTGGTGCCGATAGTTCATTTCCGGATTTTCAGCCAATGAAGCTGAACCAGAAAGGCAGACTTCTGAAACAAACTGCAACCACAGCACTCGTTCTTTTGGGCAGGAAACAAAACTTTTTACTCAGTCCTTGCGTCTCCCTTAGAGCATCTTTTTCTCTGATAGCTACATTGGGATATTTTTGAAAAGGAGACATTTGTCACTCTCTTAAAAACTCCTACTTGGGCTCAAGTCAAAAGATAATTTCACACATGTTTTTTCCCCCCATGTACAGAAAACATCTCAATAGGGAAGGATCTGCAGGGTATCTTTTTGAAGGCTTCTTTGTGCTTCAAGTACACGGCTCAGGAAACCAGTCAACTCAGTATAGGAAAAACATCACACATGAAGTGACTGAAAATGGTACTAGCAACCCAATAAGAATCTGAAGTGACCCACCAAAAACCCCTTAGTAAAAAGGGCAATGAACTGTAGAATTTATCACAAGGGCTTCCCGCTTTTGTACACAAATGCTGTTCTCTCCAGCCACCCGAAAGACCCATGCCATAAACAGTGTAGTACCATACATTTTGTACACAGACATCAACATCAGAGTACTAAATCTCTCGTGCAAAACACCTCCTGAAGTATGGAATTTGAAAGGAAACAGATATAATCCACATCTCTAGAAATTGCCCTTCTAGAAGTCCTAGCTCTTATTTCTATGGACAGTAAAGTGTACAGACAGAAGTCTCTCTTTCCTGGATGATCCCCCTCTTCTATTGGATACAAATGATGTCACGCTGATGTTACTAGGGAAGGATGAGGCTAAAAGCTCCAACAGATATTTCAAACAGGTATGCTTAGGGAACATTTGAGTGACGGACTATCTAGGGCTGACAAAGATACAAGCCTGCTAAAGAGTGGGGCACAAAGGAAGGTTTTGGGAATGTGGGTACAAAAGGGAGGAGAATGAATTTTAAACGGCCACAGGACAGGTACTGGCACAGGCAGTTGTGCTGGTGGGAGGAGCAAAGCACAGCCTGTCCCACACAGCTTGCATAGAATATCAAGACACATGGTGCCCCTCCATTGCATGCTCCCTCCACTCCATATTCCCAGGAGGTGCTCTCCCCACTACAACCTCAGCCGGGTGTTCCCCTTAAAGGGATACTGCCACTTTTTTTTTTTTAATGAGGGAGCTGTGAAAATAATAAAATAATTATTATAATTATAAAGGGGAACTGTGAATCTTTTTATACAGCTTAAAATAATATTAATATTAATATTAATAAAAATAAAAGAATAGCAGCACAATGTGGGTGAGTTCCCCACATATAAGTTGAGTCCTGTTCTCTCCACGGGAGGGTATGTGTTTGGACAATTTTTGATGCTCTGCTCCAATAACAGCCATGAAATGTTTCATGTAACGTAAGGGGAATGGTCACCCCCACTTCCCATGTTGAGGGCTGGAACTTTTCCTGTCAGTAGGTAAGTACACCCGATGCTATATTGGTCATCAGTCCGACATAAAGACAGAAACTGGGAGTGTTTTGAAACCAGGCACCCTGGCAACCAAGGGGCCCAGCTTGTGTTTTGGTGGCAGATACACCTACAGAAACAAGATATGGGAGAGTGGAATACCAGGTGCTAGGAGTACACACCAACCATTTCAATGGACAGATACTGCAGTAGCTCATCTCATCTCCTTGTTCCAGTTCACAAAGGCACTGTCTATGTCTAAAGATGATTAGATACTGTGCTGGAGCTTCCACATATCCATTCTGCTTCACAGTCCATGGTGTGTGCGAGAACCTGGGCCCCCGCCCCCACCCGGGATGCTGTGCACATCCTATCCCTGAGGTGGGAGTCTAGAATCAGGGTCTTGGCCTGATGAAAGTAAGACGCTAAGGTCTCTGGGCTAAGTCTTGCAGTTCCAAGCTGTCGGGTAGGACTAAGCCAGGCTCCTCAGGGCTGTCAGATTCAAAGCCCTCATGCGTATAGCCTCGGCAGGAGCCGGGTAGGGATGGGTGCAAAGCCAGCATCACTGAGGCAGTGGCTGTAACTGTGGTGAAGGAGCCACCAGTCCCAAGAGGTGGCACTTTGGCACTGTGGGCATGGGGGTCGGTCCGAAGGGGAATGGGGGCAGTCCGAGCCTGCTGAGGCCCTAGTCTGTGATTTGGCCACTCTTGCTGCTGTGAAGTTTCCTTGATATCTGTGGTGGATGATGTTACGTGGCTTCCAGGGGTCATGGTTTGAGTCCATTCTGGGCCGCACAGTGACAGAGGTGACTCCAAGCTTGTCTTGTAGCTTTTCACCACCTGCCCAACAAGAAAGAGACTGATGACAATGTGATGGGTACAGGCACAGATCAAACTTTCCAGAAATTTTGAAGTTATGGGGGGAAATTCCAGGGTGCTTTTTGTGTGGGGGAGGAGGAGGAGGAATGGAAACTGCTGTACCCTATGATACCTTACCACATGTACCTTAGTTTTTGCCATATGAGAAGTAGGGAAAAAATAAAAGTTGAAAATAGAAGAGAGACACATTTTACAGTAAACAAACGAAAGTACGTTACTTGGACAGAAACAGTATCACAAAGGTATGGTAGGACTAGCAGCATAGTTGGTTATCAAATTAAACTTCATAACATTGAAAGCACTGTTTATAGTGTATTAGTTGTGGACAAAAATAATCACATCTGAAAAATAAATATATGCTTGAAAATAGGTTGTATATGTCTACAATATATACAACCATTATCATTATCTAATGCTATAGTCTTACCTCAAACCTTTATAATATATATTCTGAGTGAGTGAAATCTTGCCTTAAAGGCATTCCTCTCATTCTGGTATTTCGAAGGAGGGTTCCCCCCCCCATCCAATGCTCCCCCAAATTTCCAGATTTTTACTTGAAAAACTTAGAAGAACCCCCTAAAAAAACCAAAACCCTGGCAACTGGTAGGCGCTTACCGTGATTTTGGGGAAGCTGGGACTTTTGCTGGCCTTGACCAAGATGTGTGACTGAGTTGGGGGGATGATATAGGTGCTCCGGTCATCTTCACCAGTGTCCGATGCACCAATGCTCTCTGAGTAATACTCTGAGTCAGAAGAGTCAGAAAAGGCCCCACCATGTTGGCACACATAAAAACTGTGGTGACTGATGGGTGGGGGAACAGGTGATGGTGTTGGCAGGCGGCTACCATTATCTGCAGGTGTTACCTATATGACGAAAATATGATGTTCAGAGAACAGGATGGTAAGGAAGGGGTCTTTAAGCCATGTGCTTTCAAATATAGTCTCTAAATACAAAAAATGCCATTTAGTATAGTCAGGGGTCATTTCGTAGAAAAAGAGCTGGGGGACTCATTAGCATAACTCATTAGCATATGCCACACCCCCTGACATCACCGGAAGTGTGTCCTCCCCACAGCCGGCGGCGACCTCCAGCGGGCACCAGCAGGGAGCTCCAGGCCCCGCCCTCCCGCACCTCACCCGGGGGGATGGCGTCCCCCCGCGTCTCCCCCAAAATGACCCCTGAGTATAGTAGATTCTGAAAACCAAACCTCTTTACTCATTGCTGAGAGCAGGCATATGATCAAATGTGGACAGGTTCACCAACCACCCTGTGTCTTAATCTATTGCAAAGATTAGACAAGGAGATGTAGAACTTCTTTAGCCCTTCCCCTGGCTTTCCACTTGAACAAGTGTTTGTTTTTCCTCTCTCTCTTGCATCCGGAATGGAAGTGAATTCTTAAATTGTTTTTATGTATTTTTATACTGTAATTTATATGCACTTTCTGCTCGTGAAAGCCGCCCTGAGCCAGTTTGCGGGAAGGGTGGGGTATAAATGTAATGAAAATAAATAAATAAATAAACAAACAAAGTGCTCAGAAATGGGTGTTCTCTTACCTCAGCTGGTGGGCCAATAATAGACAGGAGGACAGGCAGTAACACCAGACCATTTAGCAGCCCCAGAATCGTCAGGATGGTGAGCACAGCAAAGAAGTACCTTGAGAGGGGAGAGGAAGTTCAATAATTGTGGTGTGTAAGTCACCTGCATGTAACAATGGGTCTTGTCATAAGATGGCATAATTGCTTCTCCTGGTTTATTCCCCCATCCCTTTAGCTGAGATACACGGAAATTCTATGTCCATGTTTACATCTAGATGATGGCATAAATCGGGGCTTTTAGGTAAATCTTGTATATATTCATGTTGCACATGTGTATGTTTGTTTCTGGCAAATACTTGAATGGGCACTAATTTAATTTTGTACCAGGGACTAACTATAACATCCATTGTCTGGGTCACATGTACTGATGTATGCATACTGATTGAACATGCACACACCCATGTAAACACAGTCTATGGGAACAAAGCAAACATGAATTAAACACGGGGGAGTGTCAGACAGGAAATCAAGGACATACAAATGGATAAATGTTCCATATCTGGTACCTCCCCTGGCAGTCCTGGAAGTGTGGCATTTCTAGGAGGCTGTGTTGGCTCATAGAGAAGGGGCCCCCTCCATCTTCCATACTTGGACTAAGAACATACTTTAAGAACGTAAGTGCCCTTCTGGATCAGACCATCTCGCCAATGTTGTCCAGCACTGTGTTTCTTACCATAGCCAACTAGCTGCCTTGCAGGGCCAACAAATGGGCATAGAGACCAAGAACTCACCCTGTTGTTGCTTCCTAGCACTAGTATTGAGATGTTTACTGCCTTTTAATATGGAGGTTCCCTTTAAGCACCATGGTTAGTAGCCATTGATGGATATATCTTCCATGAATCTGTCTAAACTCCCTTTTAACGGGATATATGCTAGTGGCCATCCCTACATCCACTGACAGTGAATTCCATAATTTAATTATTCATTTATTAAACAAGTTTTCTTTTGTCTGTTCTGAATCTATTGCCCATCACCTTCACCAAGTTCACTCCATGAAAAATGTTCTCTCTAAACTGAAAAGCTTCAGACTCTTTAGCCTTTCCTCACAGGAAAGGTGCTTCAACCCTATAATCATCTTGGTTGCCTTTTTCTGCACTTTTCCCATCTCTGAAATATCTTGCAGGAGTGACATCCCAGCCTGCCTTGCTATCCTGAGAAAGGGGTTTCCTATATCCCTCTGAAACTGGCACAGTGTAGTATTCACAGGACTATAAGGACAGAAGAAAGTAACACAATGGTACCTCAAAATGAAGTCAAATTCTGAACCAGCCAGCATCAATACACCTAGCAGAGTGGAGACAGCACCATCCATCACAGGGGCAAACATGTGCTCTAGAGCCACAGTGGAGCGCAGATTCCGGTTGCCGATGGCAGTGAGAAAGCCCTGAGGAAGGATGGATAGAACAGAAATGAGAAGAGATTAGCCAGCCATCATATGGCATCTGGAGTTTGCATCAACAGATAAATGCAACCCCAAAGTGCTCTACAGGACAGGAGCCAAAGGCCCAAATCTGTCCTTGGACACTAAATCTTGTGCCTATTGCTGGAGCTGAGCTAGCTTCAGCGTAATGTATCACGATTGTGTGATTGTTTACTTACTAGTGCCACATGGACAGTGAACTCCACACCAATGCCCACAGAGGCAATAAGGATGACCACAGGGATAGCGCTCAGTTTGATGCCCATCAGGCCCATGATACCAAAGAGCTCAACTGTCATCATAGCCAAAATGAATACCTAAACCAGACAGAAAAGTCAAGTCAGTCTGTGTCATGCAAAAGGGTCTGTCACTAACGGTAATGAAGGAAAGCCTAATGACACAGCAATAAATAGGAATCTACAGATCTTTACAATCATTAAGAAGAGGTGATGCAAATACAGCTGCTACCTGCCTGCCATGCATATGTAGAACTCTATGAATCTAATTTTTCAGTTGTTTTTTTAAAAACTATTAACTATTAGACCTCATGAATACATACATGAATACATGAAGCTGCCTTATATTGAATCAGACCGTCGGTCCATCAAAGTCAGTACTGTCTACTCAGACTGGCAGTGGCTTTCCAAGGTCTCAGGCAGGGGTCTTTCTCATCACCTACTGCCTGTTTGTTTTAACTGGAGACTCTAGAGATTGAACCTGGGACCTTCTGCATGCCAAGCAGAGGCTCTACCTCTGGCTCTACCACTGAGGTGGGTGTCTACAGGACCAGAAACCAGAAAAGGTGTGGCATCAATAATAAATTATAAAAATGAATTAAATGTGTGCAAGCATATGACATTTGGGTATTTCATGTTTAGCACAGAATTTGGATTTCTGATTGCAGATTTTCAGTTTCTTTAGTGCAATAATAAAACCCTCAGGGAAAAATGAAATCAACTACTAATATACTAGTTAAAATGTAAACAAACAGCTAATAGCCAAGGATATGGATATGTTGTCCAGCACTGTGTTTCTTACCATAGCCAACTAGCTGCCTTGCAGGGCCAACAAATGGGCATAGAGACCAAGAACTCACCCTGTTGTTGCTTCCTAGCACTAGTATTGAGATGTGCTATTGGATCGTAGATGGCAATCATAAACTAAGTCTATTAATGATCAAAGTAGATTTAAACAGGCATGGTTGTGGGCATGTGATAATTGTTAATGAATGCATAATTAACATTCATTATCATGTGCCACATGGAGACGTGTGTAACCTCTGAATTATGAATTAATACAACAGTGCCAACGGGACACTTTATATGCCAGTTAATTAATATGGTGGATGGGAAAAACCAGCAGGGAAGCAGAGCTGCAGACATCCCACCAGTACAGGTGGATAAGGATGCTAATACAGGCACCTGGACAGTGATGTGCAGGCCAGTCACACATGTGCTTTATCCCTTCAGCACCAAGAAGAGAAGCTTGGGGACAACAGAGAAAGATACAGATCTTGTTTAGGCTTAATGTAATAGCAAATGTTTATGTGTCACTGTGTGTACATGTAATAAGAATCTATGGCCAATCCTGGTTCCCTGCTGCAAGTACAAACATTGGCAAATATTCTTGGTGCATGCATAAATTCATTAACACATGTATGGAAATAGTATGTGCCTGTGTAAAAAATGAAATATGCAAACTATCACATCACCTTATTTTTTAATAATATCAAGCAACAATATTTGAGTATTTGCAGAACTGGAATAGTATAAATTATAAGAGATGGGAAAAGTTACAACACAGTATTAAAAGGAGGTAGAAGGAAAAGGGAATGGGGGATTGTCCAGGAAGCAGAAGCTCTACCCTTTGATCCCAGCAAACTTCATATAATTTCCCAGCCCTAGTTCCTGAGTTTCCTGTCCTAGTAACTACAAGGGCTAGAAAGCTTTCATGTTGACATGGCTTAATCACAAAATGAGAATAAAAACCCAACCAGAAAAGACAGATTGATATTACACAGGCCACAATACTATATAATCATTTCTTGATGAACAATACCACACCATTAATGCATATAAATCTCAGGATTGTCAACTCAGGCCTCTCTATATACTGATACACATTCTGCTGATTGTGAAGGAAAATACTCACAATGATGCTGGCAGTCCAAGGGTTGAGTAGCAGCAGGGTGCACACCAGGAAAGTGCAGGCCAACACAATGCTGATAGCTTGCAGGAGCCAATGACGTAGACCAATGTACTGCTCCCAAAAGAGGAAAGGGTAGCCACTAGGGTAGCTGACCACACCATGTGTCTGAGCCACCTCATCACAGATGGCACGCACACTCTCGATAGCTGCTACAAAGTCTGATGTCTGCCGCAGTCCATTGAGATAGAAGGGGAACTGAGCAAACTCCAGGGGCTGTGCAGCTGGGACTGTCAGAAAGAGATGCAGTCATTAGGTACATTCACCTCCTTGCCCTCACTCCCATCTTTAGAGCCCAAGGGGAATTATTTTATATGCTTGTAATCCCGCCCACTCATGAAGCTAGTTATGGCTTGAAAATGCAGGAAACGTGCAGATATAGGGTATATATTGTGGTATAACTATGGAATTAGGGGTAGTGTTGAAACAGTAACATGTATTAGAATGATGAATGAGAATGAGGCTGTCGCCTCCACTCACTTCGAAGGTTCTCGCCAGTGGCATCGTACTTGTCATGGATCCACTCTGGCGGTGGTGGATAGAAGTTGGCCTGGGAGGCAGCAAAGCCAAGGGGGTCGTTGCTCACCCACACTGTCAAACAGATGTAGAAGATGTCAGGTGGGATGATCCCATTCCCATCCACCAGGCGGTGAGTTGTCAGCTGTGGGGCAGATGGGAGAGTGGGAGAAGTCAGTGAGAGAGCTGGGTCAAGTCGTTACTGCACTGGTTCTAGCATTGTGCAGGCAAAGGGAACATCCCCTCCCCCACAGCCACCTCCAGCAGGAGTCTTCTCATTTCCTCCAGGTTCATCATTACTCATTTTTACAGGTTTGGAAGTGCTCTTTCCTCCCTCCTCCCCTCTCCCTATCCAATGTGTCTTTGTCACCCAACACTTACTTGATTTAGGCTGAAGGGCTCCTTCTTGCTGCCTGTCTGGATGAGGAGCTTGTAAGCCAGAGCACCATCCTCTGACCCATTGCGGTAATTCTCCCTGGTGATACGGCCAGCTTCCCAGTCTCGGTCAAAGGCTGCCTGCAGACCTGGTGAGCAGGGAAAGCACTGTTAAGGGAGTGGGACACATGGCCCAGAAGCAAGAGCGCCATGCACCAGCTATGATCACTTCATCCCTCTTCAAGGGGCTGCTATCCCAGTGCTTCAGCATGGAAACCTCATCCTTAGCAGAACTGACAGAAAGGCCTTCAAGATGTGGAACTGTTCCTGACCTTACTTTAGAAAAACAGGAAGAGAGCTAGCATTCCCACAAGCTAGAAGGACAGCTGTAGAGGAGATATATACATGCACACTCATCGTACCTGTGTGCAAATAACCTTTGTTTACCTGTAAGTGTGAATGTGAAATGTAAAAGCTGTGCCTGTCCCACTTGCAGGATAGGGCGGGATATACAAATAAAAATAAAATAAAATAAATGAGTTGGAGAACACCTGGATTCATCCCTAGGAGCTAAATAATGTCCTGCAGCCTGAAATGCTGCTATCCTGACCAAGGTTGCTGCCTGTTCTCCCCTAGAAACAGCTGGTCCAACACTTGGCACAAACTCTCACACATTCCCCAGCCATGAGCAAGTTCAAACCAAGAGTATCCAGCTCAAGTACCAAGACCTGGGAGAGGACATCCTATTCTGTTTCTTTAGAAAGAGAGGGCTGAAAGTCCTTCACTCACCTTGTAGCCAATCCCGGAAGTAGTGCAGCCACATCTTCGGCAACTGGCGGTTCTCATCACGCACTACATACTGGATAGCGTTGAAGGCCTCATGCAGGCCATAGAGGGCCTTCTGTGAGTTGGGGTAGTCAAAGCTACCCTTGGTTACCACAAACATGTTATAAAAGGAGAAGTATTTGAACTGAGCTGAAATGAAGGCGTGTTCCTTTGTGTCTCGTGGGACAATATCTGTCAGGTACAGTCCATCATGAACTTTGGTTGTGCCATAGAGGCTCAGGCCCAGTAGTGCCAGGAATATGGCCACCACAATTCCCTGGGAAAGCAGGGAAAAAAAGAGTCAAAGCTGGTGAAATCAGACCTCTGCCACCCCACCCCATTCTGCAGGATTTAATTTTTCCATGATTGCTCTTTAGAGGCCTGGTCTCCCCTTAACAAAGAAAGAAACTGCTCCAGCAGCTGTGACTATCTAGCCTCATAATCTACGTCACAAGTGTGTTGTGTTGCCCCCAACAGAGTTAATGCCCCAGCTGGTCATATTCTGGGGATAGAGAATACACATGCTAAGCAACAGCAGCCACACTGACAACCAGAGAGCCTCCCACGGCAGGGACCCTATCAGTGTTTCTCTTGATTAATTGAGGGAGATGCAGCTCTCCCACCTCCAGTCTTGACCACCTCTCTTCAAAGAAAGTTCCAGTCTGGGATTATCTGGGACTGACTCCTACTCAGATTACCTAAGAAAGGCATGGAATCCCCATCCCTTACTGAATTTACACAGATTGACTAAGAAGACAAGGGCTACAATGGATATTACAATCTTTGTTCCAAGTTGGCTGTAATGTACACTACACTCTGCTTCTGATCTGGATAGGCAGGGCACAATCAAAGGGGAAAACACAGTATCCTCAATGGCTCAGAGAGCACAGTGAATACTTGCCAAATTGGGAGTGCAGACCTCATCTCCAAATAACTGGGAAAGTAAGGGAGCTTTCTGTGCCTCACTTGTTGCATGGTATACAATTTATATAGGAGGACCTTCTCAAGTGGCTCCCTAGGGCACTGTGCTCCTCTTTTCTCTGCGGTAGACCACAGCCCTCCAGAAAGGTCCTCAGAGCAACTCTTTGTCGCCTACCTTGGTGTGGCTCTGCAGAAGAATGGGTGCATATTTGTCCCGAGCAAAACTGGAGAGATTCCATCGGCAGAAGGGCAACGGGACACAGTCCTGGGCACCTTTGCCCTCATCCAGCTGTGCCAGGAGATCACGAGTGGAGCTGGCAGGAGTGAAGACTTGTGAACCCATTGGGTTGGCAGGCAGCAGAGTGGATGGGGTGGTGAAGACATGCTGCATAGGTGGTAGGATGGTAACTACGTGTCGCCCAGAAGGGTCACACTGGGTGAAAGCTTGCACTGTGGTGGTGATACGTGTGCTGGTGGCCAGTGCTGGGTGTCCATGGGGAAATGTGGGCGCAGCGTGGTTGTCATTTGCATCAGCATATTCTTGTGGCTGGATCTGGATGACGCGGGAGGAGCAGAGGCTGTAGGTAGAAGAGGACACTGAGAAACTGCAGGGGACACACAGAGCAAGCCATCTGTGCATGCCACAAGGCTTCCCTTGCTGGTTCAGACACAGCGGAGTGGAGTGGATCCAGTGCTCTTAAAGGGTAGGTGGTGTGCACTTAAAGGGCTGTGGCTTCCCCAAACAACTGCCTCCAACTCCCATAGGATGGAGCCCAGCTTTGCCCTGAAGATTACAGGCCTGTCCCAGGGAACAGGGAACTCTTTCATCATCTCACTCCCCCAGACAATACCTGTAGAAACAGCACAGAATGTCAAGCCTCTTGTTTTCACGTCTGTGAAGGTCCAAGCTCAGGATGGCAGGAAAGATGAACAGCACCATGGCAAAGTTGAACACCACCACCACAGCAGCCTTTGGTAGACAAGGAAATGAACCAGACAGAAAGCTGACAGTTAGACACATTGAATATCTTGGACCAAAGCATTCGTTTTGAAGATGGGTGCCCAGAACTGCATTGCGTTTATAAGGATGCCAATATTAGTGAGGGGCTTAGAAAGGGACTGGGGGTATTTCACCAGCAGGGAGGCATTAGCTTTGATCTTGCCCCTTTGTTGGAAGAAGAAGAGAAGAATAGAAGAGATTGGATTTATACCCCACCCTTCACTACCCGACAGAGTCTCAGAGTGGCTTACAATCTCCTTTTCCCTTCCCCTCCCTACAACAGACATCCCGTGAGTTAGGTGGAACTGAGAGAGCTCTCTCAAGAACTGCCCTTGAGAGAACAGCTCTGAGAGAACTGTGACTGGCCCGGGGTCACCCAGCTGGCTACATGTGAAGGAGTGGGAAATCAAACCTGGTGCTCCCAGATTAGAGTCCGTGCTCCTAACCACTACACCAAATTGGGTGTGCAGGTTAATCCAGGAAAAATTGGGTATTGGACCTCTTCTGTCTAACAGGTGCCAATTTTAATCTGGATCTAGGTTAATCAAATTGAGTAGGAAGGTGTCTCTTTCCTTCTGTGTACTTCAGCCTGAATCCATCATTTGTTGCTCCTGGTTCATTTCACCAGATCAGAGCAAGAAAGGGTTACTAAGGCAGAGAACTAGGCCATTTCTCCAGAGGAGGAAAAGAATAAGCACTGCTATAGACTCCCTAGGTAGCCTTGGACAACCCACTTGCTCTTAGGACTCAGTTCCAACAGCTGTAAAATGGGGAATAATAATTTATTTTGCATGGTCATTTATGAGAACAAACTGTGTAAAGCGTTTTGCATATTAAAAGTACTACATCAAAATAATATAACAAATAGATGAGACAGTGATAGTGCTGTAGTGGTCATACAGGGCATCTTCTGCCCTGCTGTTATCAATGAACCCCTGATCAGGATCCTGGACCAAGTCTAGAGACAGGTGGGAGAGGAAGAGCATGGCTCCTTCTCTTCCACAAGGACATCTGCCTCTACAGGGTGAAGAGGAGAACACACACGCTAAGCTTGCATACTGCAACACTGCCAGCCATGAGGCAGGGAGATGTACCTAGATGGAAAGACCACACGGAGCTGCCAGAATGTGCTTCAACACACACACACACACTTCTACATCTTTTTTCCCCTCTCCAGAGCAAAAGGTTATCCAGATTTCTAGGCAAACCAAACTGGGAAATATACCTGCTGGGAGGGAGAGGGAGACGGTAGGACTTGCCTCCTCTGAGGTGTAAGGATAAGGCTCTTGTGTACAGGCATGGGATGCACGCATACCTGCATGCTCGTGGGAAGGGCTCACCTGCAGAGAGAAGGCTCGCAGAGCTGGGATGGGCACCAGGGCAGCCATGAAGAAGGCAATCATGTTATTGACAGAGGTGAGTGCTACACTGGTGCCACTACGCCGTAAGCATTCACCAGTCCGCTCCTGTGTTGGAAAGAAGCAAATGAAACCATTAGCACAGGCTAGAAGGTGGGGACTGAGCCCACACCAGCAGTACACAGGAACCCAAATACTAAGACAGGAACAGGGAAATGTTCTCACCTTGACAGGGATGTGTTGGCTGGTCTCAGTAAAGGCATGTGCCAGGAGGAACATGTCATCCACACCAATGCCCAGTGCCAAAAAAGGCAACACCTATGTGGATACAGGGAGAAACACAGTTACAGGGGCATGGTCAGAAACTGTCTCACAAAATAAAAATGTCAGGCTATGCAGGGACAGCAATATTTATAGATGGTGCCAATACAGGGGAGCACAGGGCTTCGGAGTTTGTTTCAAAGCCACTACAAGTGTGTACTTCTGCATTTATGCTCAGGGTCTCAGTGATACCCATATTTTCCAAAGCCTGATTAGCTGGAGTCCTTGTGGGTCTTTTGCTTTCTCCTGAACCATAAAGCACAACCTGTACTTGAAGCACCTGGATTTCATTTTATTATACCTATTCCTGGCCTTGCAAGAATGTTGGCTGAGGCACAACTTGCCTGGTTCCTGCTCTCTACCTGAGCCACATTCCTCAATAGTTAGCTAGCCTTTGTGCAAGCTGGAGGTGATTCCTTCTCATGACTCTGTGACTATCCTCTATTCTCTGTAGCACCTCTGAAGGAAAAGCAGAATGTAGATGGCTAGAGTCCAGTGGGAGCTGAAGGCACTCTGATGGCCATGCTGGAATTCCACATGACATTCCTTTCTGCCAAACAACACCTTTTAACGCTGGGTGAGGACAATGAGGCCGAATATAGCCTCAGTATTGCACCGTATGAGAAATCTGAATGGATGGAACATTCTGCTGTTTACAGAACCTGAGGGACCTCCTACAGAGCAAAGAAGTCATCCAAAGTGAATGTTGCCCTCTCCGGGGCCAACGAGTAACATACCTGTGTGGTCGCTGCATTGAAGGAGATTCCCAGTAGGGAGCACAGTCCAAGTCCTGCTGCCACTGAAAGAGCCACTAGAAGAACTCCTGCGAGGCCCACAGCACCCTGCGATTTGGAACAGTCCCAGCGCAGCATGGTGACACAGGCATAAGCCAGCTGCACAAGGATGAGAATCATAATTACTGAGGAGACAGGTTCGGGTAGAAAAGCTACGCAATGGTCCATAATGGGATAGGGGGTGGAAGGCAGGAAGGAAAAGGCTGCTACATACCATCAGGAGGTACCCGCCTGCAACGCGGATGACGCTCACATCTGAGAAGGATTTCATTATGTCATTGAGCGTGGTGGTGGAGAAGGCATGGATAGTCTGGGAGGAATTTGAAGGGAGGGATTCCTGGGCCAACTGGGAAGAAACAAGGCATGTGAGATAACTGGGAGAGGAGAATAATAATCTAAACAGCTTCCCCCCCACTCGTATATCAGTCCTTCTCATATAAATACACGCACGAGATCAGCTTACAGGCCTAACATAACACTGCCCCCTGCACACTCTCCTGAAAAATCCACTTATAAATACCTGGCTGCCCTACAAACCAATCCAATTACAATCAACACTGATTCCACTCACAAGCACTGACTGTCTCTAAACAACCTCCTAGGAAGCTTCTGCTCTTTACTGTTCAAAATATCCCTCCAGCTGGCACACTGCTCCTGTCCATCCATTTCACTGTGCAGAATCTACTCAAGTTCATGAGACCTCTTTATACTAGCTTGTAGGAATCCATTTTCCTCACTGATGCAGTATCAGCAGGCCAAAGAATCCTAAGATGTCAATGAGTTCTTATTCTCATAATGCACCAAAGTTCTGCACTGTGTGTCTAACTGAATCTCCCACCCCAACGTTGGAAAAGCTTCCCTGTTTTTCCAACACAAAAAAACCCCTCAGAACCAGACATGTTTACAAATGCGTCTTTACATGCAGTCCTACAGTCCCCTCTAATTCTCTTACTCTCCCCATCCCCGTTTCATAGACATGCTCTGCCCATCTATGGACCTTTGTGCCCTTCTGCACCTCTTTCTGGCACCCTCCCTTCCACGGTCACCGTTTTAGCCTTTGTCCACGCATTCGCTCTGTCACCCATGTACACGGTCTCCTGCACTTCCCCTCTCCCTTGCTAGTGCCACAGCCTCCTCTGCCGCTCCTCGTCTCATCTCACCTCAACAAATTCCCGCTGCCAGGCTTCCAGGACAGCAGCTGCTTTCTCCTCACTCCAGTTGATGTCATGTATCTCATAATCATCCCGGTAGTGCTCAAAAAGCTGGCGTGGGCTCATCAACAGGAACATGCTCTGCAAGGCTTCAGCTCTGGAGGGGGGGGAAGCTGACTTAGAGAAACCTTTGCTTGCACACAGTGCAAGCAAGGGAAAGGACATGGGACTCCTTTTAACTCTAAACATAAAGTCTGAGGACTGTCTTTCTAGTACACTAGGTCCAAGCTAGAAGGCCTGGTTTCCAGCTTCCTTCAGTGTCCATTCACAAATTCGTTTATTTATTTACTTCATGTGTTCCTCTCCTTTATCCCCAATGGGGACCCAAAGCAGCTTACATCATTCTCCCCTTCTCCATTTTATCCTCACAACAACCCTGTGAGGTAGGTTAGGCTGAGAGAGTGTGACTGGCCCAAGTTCACCCAGTGAGCTTCCATGGCATGAGTGGGCATTCAAACTCAGGTCCCCCAGATACTAATTCAGCACTCTTAACCACTACACCACACTGGCTCACAAGTGTTGACAAATTTGAGCATCTCTCTAGGCTCAGGGAGATGGATTGTTACAAGCAGGCCTCTGTGCTGTGGGATGGCATACACACCAACTGGAAGGCAGGGAAGTGGCTTCAGGATTCAAGGGGTGACAACAGTTAAGAGTTTCAGGGATCACCATAAATCCCATAGCTCAGGGACACCTGACAGTTGCTGCTAGGATTAGTTCACGGGCATGCACCCATCCTCCCCAAAAATATGATCCTCAGTGGCATCAAGTTACAAGCTGGCTCAGGACGCAGTTCACCACTAGCCCCAATCGTGAAAAAGAGGAGGAATGAGAGTCCTGTCAGTTCCCAGAAGCCATACCCCCATCCTCCCAAATAAAACTCAAGATCAATCATTTTGTGTGTCATCTTTAATTGCCCAACTTGCAGAGAAATGCCATCCACCTGCTGGAAGAATTCCTCAGCTATCTGGGGTTATTCATGGTCAGAGACCTCTGCTGGTCATGGAGTTTTGGTCAGTTCCACGTCCAGACTTACCTCTGTAGTTTGCCCTGGAAATCCTTCACTGTCCCACCCAGGATCAGCTCCTCTTGCCAGTGCATGTATTTTTGAGAGAAGCCATGGCAGCCACCTGTGAGCTCAGAGGGAATGTCTGGTGCCTGTGGAAAGGAGCAAGATGAAGTGACTGTAAGATGACAGCATTAACTGGGGGAGTTTAGATGGGTGCTGAGAACTGTAGCACTCTGCACACTCCTGCTCCCTAGCTATTGTACTAGCATGTACATTTACAGCAAAAAAGGGTGGAAAGTCATGGTTCAGAATAAACGACTATTTGTTTTAGACTTTAGATGAGCTGGTCAATAAAAACCCAAAGGATCACATAGGGGAGTTGCACGGGTACAGCCAGCATGAAGGCCCTGCCTCTGCAAATGTCACAAGTGATGGTCATTCAATTAGTTATTCACAACGAGGGAGAGCTTGAGGTTCTTTCTGGAGAGGACACATTCTGCCCTCTGCTCTGCAAAGTCAGATCTGGCGATCGTGATCCCTGTTTCAACTCAAGTGACTTTGGCCTTGGAGAAACCAAAATATGGGTATATTTAAAAGAAAGGCAGACATATTCAAAAGAAGAGTGGCAACAAGTGTCCAGCAGAAATCTGCTGGTAGAAGAGTCAGGAGATTTCACCTCCATCCCCCATTCTCACTGCAGCCCCCTGACACATGTGGCTGTGTGTCTATGCACGTCCCTTCATCTCCAGAACCATCTTTCTAGGGGTCACAAGGGACTGCTGTGGCAATAATCTGCATCTGGCAGTGCTTTCCATTGGCAGATTGCTGGATACTACCATTATCTGGGACACACTGATGCCTTTTTGTTTGTCCCAGATAGAAGAAAGTGGTTTCCAAACCCACTGCCATAATTATCTATAAAGAGTTCTGAAGTGCTTGTAAAGCACAGAATTTCTATGCATAGGCAGCAAACGGAGTTAAGGGGATCTAGGAAATTCTATCTTTTATGTAACAGCACTCCATACTGGTTCTGTCCAGATCTAGGCTTTCTTAGAGAATCAAGCCAAAACAACAAATCAGTTTTGCCATATTCAGTTAATTAGTCTTTAATGCAGCACTGCAAACCACATCTAGAAAGATGCAGTCCAACAAACACTCAAGCAATGAGAAAAATCAGAAAACTTTTAAATCCAAACACACGTCTTAAGATACAGCATATCTCCAGCAGCTTCCAAATATACACCGATAATATCTTTCACTACTGTATATATTCACTTTACATAACCTCCTAGCAGTATTTCCATATATTCAGCACCAAGAATAACAGACCCATTTGGACAATGTCAAATGGATGAATGCAAGACAGCCAATCCCTGATGATATTTACCCACATAAACCAAAAGGCAAAGCTACAGATATCTAATATTTTCTAGCTGTGATATTAGAGAACTATTTTGGTTTGTTAAGGCTGCAGAAGATGAGCACAAAGGAGTTCCTAGCATTTGGTCAGGGAATTGCATTTGCAAAATCCATTCTGACTGCAAGAGCCAAGGATTTTCTGTGTGTGAGCATTATGTGTGCGAGCGCTTGCCCACAGGCACACTGGGTGTTCCCTTCAATCCTAAAGGCAGCTTCTTCCTGCTCCTGTGGTGGCGGCGAGAGAAACTGGATAGCCATAATGATAACAGTCTGGCTTTCAAGCCAGGAAATGTGGAATTATGGCTGCAACCCCATCCTCCCTCTCCCTGTGCCTGCCCTCGGTCATATGTGCTGTGTGTGTGCTGCGCACTGCTCCCTCCCCCTCCTCCTTTCCAAAAGCTTCTAAACTGCCATCTGTTCTGGGATACATTCCAAACTATGACCACCTGCTGGCCAGCACTTGCACCGCGTCTGCCTGGATCAGCACCGTCAGTCCAGCCTCAGCCTCCCTGGCAAAGAGCCACACATTCCAGGACTCCCACCCTCACATATACACATAGGGCAAAACTAAGGAAATGGGGAACCTCACAGAGAGTTCTACCCTTTTGGACACAATGCCTGAAAAGAGGATCCTAGCCCCGGACAAGACTGAAGGAAGCAATCCTATTGTTTAGCACAGATGTTACCATCTGAAGAGTACTGTGGATCTTCTAGTCTACCGTCACTCCCCACAGAGTCCAGGCCAAAGAATCCTCTCCCGTTTTTGTAGGCAAAATGTTCTTTTCTTTTCTTTTTTTGGCTACATCAGTTTTGTGTCAGTGTACTTCATGTGTACCTTGGCTACCGTCTTGAAGCAGAGGCTGTGAATGGTAGAGAAATTGCCTCCTTCTTGAGTAGCCTTGTCTGAAGAGCAGTTAACAGCACTCTGACATTTTTTGCCTCATTTATCAATGGAATTTACCAGTAAATTCCTTGCCCCTGATTAACATTTGTCATCTGCTAAATTCTTTGCACAGATGGCAAAGTTTGCATCAATTCTGCAAAGCATTCAGAATTCCTAATGAGTGCACTTTTTTATATCACCACTTCTGTTTTTACAGACAGGCTTCAGCAGCTGTACGACATATCTTAGTGCAGCTTTTAGTCTCTCATCTGACTTTTTTTTAATGGGAGGTGCAAAAGATCACCTGGACCATTAAAGAATGTGTTCAAATTGTACACATTTTTAAGTAGCACTTGATGCACTTCAAGCCAGCATTCCAGGCAATATCTTTTCCAGGGACCAAATACCCGTAGGAGTCAGTAATGTAGAGAAAAGGCTTTAGAAACATATGGGTTAGACCTTTGCAGCTGCCTGACAGCCTACCTCTAAAGAAGCTGATGGAGCTTAAGTTGTAGCTCACTGAAATGGTGATGCATCATGACCAAGTTGATAACATTTGCAATGTAGACTGGCATCTTACAGAGGTGATTTGAGTGCCAATGCACCTCTACAGGTTCAACAACAAGTGAAACAAATGTGCATAGGTATACACCTACCAAACTGGTGCTCACCTATAAAGCCTGCATGCAGCTATGTACATAGACAAGGGCAGATACACGGAATAGGGCCTCAGAGAGAGAATCAGGAACATGAATGCAAAGGGCACATAATGCAATTAGAGTCTCTCTCTCTGTTAATCATGAATGATGGAGCCTCTGACCTACATGGAGGTGTTCATAACACAAGTTGTTCACAGACCTCAGAATTCAAATGTTAAAGATGCAAAAACGTCTGCCTAATCACTAATCAGTCCCAAGTCCAAGCAAGCCAGTTTCTTTGTAACATTACAGTAGACAGCCAATAGCAAGGGGGGAGTATGATGAATCATAAGAACATAAGAGAAGCCAATGTTGGATCAGGCCAGTGGCCCATCCAGTCCAATACTCTGTCATACAGTGGCTAAAAATACCATCAGGAGGTCCACCAGTGGGGGACAGTTGTTGCTAGTGTGACACCAAAGCAAGTCCATCATTAGGAGAGAGGCAGAAGAAAGACAGAGATAGAGAATGTAGTGTGTGTGAGATTCAATGGGACTTATGATCCCTTCATACAGATACAAACACAGAAACTCTCAGATGAGAAGAAACTCTCTAGCCAAGTTCTCACAAATAGCAGGGGAGGTGGCATTCACTTGATCGACTACTCCTTTGCACAAAAAAGATCTGTACATAGAAAACTTGATACCAGGAGGGACTATACTAGCTCAGCTTTCTCACTGACATATTGGCTTCTTATATGTCAGGATATTTTTTCATAGGGAACATTCCATCATGTAAGCCTCACCGATAGTAATTAATATGTTGTCTGAAAGAACTAGGCCCCCCTCTCTCTACATATATACAGAACATTTAGGAAATATTCCTCATTCAAACTCACCTTTCGGCTCTGGCTGTTGGGGGCACTGGCAGGACACTCAGGGTCAAAGGGGTCAAGACAGGGTCGCTCCATATAGGCCTGGCCAACTTCTGCCTTATCTAGCATTTCCTTGAATCCTTCCAGCGAGGCAAACTGACCAAGCTCCTCCATCAATTGAATAGGGTCCAAGTTGGTCCATTGGATATCCCGTCGGCCCCTGCAGAGATACAACAAATGTTTGACATTAATGTTCAGGGGAGAGAACCTGACCAAACTTGGCATTAACAAGTTGCCTAGTAAACAGCAGTGCCCAGAAACTGCTCCTGGGTGGTGACTCATTGTTCCTGATTTTCAGGACACTCCCCAGCATAAAGTGTAATCCTCTAAATACAATTTTTAAAATCCATTCCATTTGCTCAGGTCAGTGTTCACTTAATGCTCACTCAAGCTTGCACTTTCACACTAGAAGCCTCCTGAGTTTAACACTGCTGTTTGAGTCCTTTTTGTGCCATCAATAGTGTGGTCTTTGTCTTTGCAGGCTGTTCCTGTCGCTTTCTATTTATCTTGTCTTTGCCTTCAGGTTGCACAAAAAGTGAAACTCTTTGCTTTTGGTACAGAAACTGCAGCTGGCTTCAGAGGGAAAAAAAGTCTGGAAACGTCTTTCATATGAAGTCCGAAAGTTATGCAAGACTGCTTATGGTTACTGGATGGGTAAAGAGACATTTCACTAATGCTCAGAGAACATTTGTTACTTCATGTGCATTGTTCTGAGCTCTGGATTCTAGGAAGTACTGGCCCAAATTAAATGGAGGATAAGGTAGAAGAGAGAAGATATATGGGCAAATCATACACACTTGTTATAAATGGGTGTCAGATTGAGTTTTTAAAAAAATATCTTCAATCAGGCCTGGTGAGGCAAAAGAACGTCCTTGTGCAACTCTGTATGTGCCCAGCCACTCATCTAAACAGAGCTGCTTTGCATTCAAAACAGCTATGAATGCTGAGTTAGTGTGCCGGAGACCTGGAACTTGGGTGGGTGTTGTGCTGGTTCTCTAACTAAGCACCTGTAGCTGCTTTGAACAGAAAGTGGCGCAGTTTAAACAAGATGCTGGGCACATGCAAAGTCCACAGGTAATTTTTTTTTTGCCTTACCTGCATCACAATTAAATCAAACCTCAGTTAGAATGTGTGAAGGGGAAACATGCAGTGAAAGTCTAAGAAACAAGAAACTATGACCATGATTTTTGGATACGCCCCTTTATGCTTCTCTGAATATAGTTTGTTGTTGTTTTAAATCACCAAATATTTTGTTCTTACATCTGAATTGTCTTCTTTTTAAAAATGTTGTACTCTCAGGGCAGCTTGGTTCTGTAGTAAAGTATGAGATTAAAGAGTTTGTTTTTTAAAATGTTAGTGTGTTGGTAGGAAGGGTAGTCCTTTTTTTTAATTGGGTAGTAATTTTGTGAACCTGTTTGCAAGGCTGAACCTGGTCCTGTCAATAGACACCATATACTGTGGGCACTCATCAGTTATGATTCCTCTACAGAGACACACTATAGCTAAAGATATGGAGCACAGAAATGGTTATCCAAGTATAATGTATGTCTTTGAGTATGGATAAACACCAACACACCAGGTCTGGCTGTTAATCATACTATGCAATCCCAATTTGTGTTTCCTTTGCCCTTCTTTCTACACTGATAAGAGGGGAGGAATTGTAGCATACTGCCTTTTTCTGCACATGCAAGGTCCTGGCTGTTTCTGCACTGGCTCTATCAAGATGTTACCACAGCGGCGTTAATTGCCCTGACTGGCTGCACAAGACTTATTTAGGGCTGGGAGGCCTGAGTGAAGTGTTGAGATAGTTCTTCATTCCCTTTGTCCCCATGCATAACAGGATCAAGCATGCTGCTTTCATTTGGCATCTGGTTTGGAGTGCCAGCTCCCAGGGAACCAGACAGTGCCTCCTCCAGCATGACTGGAATAGTGTGTGTGTGAGAGAAGTGTGTGTGTGTGTGTGTGTGTGTGTGTACACACACACACACAGGTTTGAGGTCATGTACCCATATGGGGGCATCATAGTATATCTCAGAAGCAGTAGGGAAGCATTGAACAATGATTAGAGCACAACGCTCTGTTGACTTGCATGTGGATATATATAGACATCGGCATATACTTGTGTTGATCTGTACAATAAGGGGACTGTGGGCTACACTACTGTATACAGCATATGTTATCTGTTTACTGTATGTATTATCTTTCTCTCACTACATTGGTATCTATCTATGCAATTCCACCTTTTGACATTGTTAACATATCATCATGTCAAATACTTATGCTTTTTCAGATTTCTCTAAACTTAATCATATTACTTTACTTATCGGGTCTTATTCTATTAACTGCATTGATTTACACTGTATAATCCGCCCTGAGTTTCAGTGAGAATGCCAGATGATAAACAAAACAAACAAAGTAATATTTGCATATAGGGGAACGGATGATAAGCTTATTCTGAAGAAGGATGAAAGAAAAAGCATTTCGCTCTTGTTCGAAATAAAGGGTAGCCTTTCAAAATGCAATTGTCTCAATGGGCAAATGTGGAATAATGTATCTCAGGAAGGCCTCAGGCCCACCAATCATATTCTTAGGTAACTAGTACTACAGAGGTGATCATATCGCTAGAAATACAACACCACGATCTATTCCAGCCCTGGAGATTCCCATCCCTTCTCCCCCCATCTGATTCACTCCAAATTCTGCCAACTCCATTCTGAGATAGTAGGTTCCAAAGACCAGTTGTCCACTAATAAGAAGTCCATCCTTTGCTCCCTTCCTAGTTTTACTGACAATGACCTAAACTGTGAGAAAAAGGAGTAACCCAGCAGAATGAGCACTGGGGACAACGGAGAGAAAGCTTCTGCAAAGTGGTCCAGCATTGTAGAGTGGATCAGCAAAGAGCTGCAACTGTTGCTTTTTCCATTCCCATTTTAAACCACAAAGATTTCCTGCAAAAGACTAGCAATGGAGGAGAGGGTAGTGACCACTGAATCCCATGAGAGAGGGTGCAGTTCTTGGCTCATAACTTAAGAACGTTGATCTAGAATTTAGCTGAGGGCACAATAAAAAAATGGAAGAACTGGTTGCATTTGGTGACACATGGAATATTCTACCAGTGTTTGTCAAAGAAGAGACAACAAGAATAGCTTCAAAGACAAGAAAGAACAACATAACATTAGTCCAATCTCCTAAGGCTGCTGCCACACACGCTAAGTAATCCACTTTCAATCCACTTTCAGTGCACTTTCAAAGTGGATCCCTCAGGTAGGTCGGACCCAGGCCATATAGGGCTTTATAGGTAAGTACCAGCACTTTAAAGCGGACTCGGTATGCTATAGGCAGCCAGTGCAGCGCCTTCAACCCAGGCTTGATGTGCTCCCACCTGGGGAGGCCCATCAGCAGCCTAGCCGCCGCATTCTGCACTAGCTGCAGCTTCCGAGTCAGCGATAAAGGCAGCCCCATGTAGAGAGCGTTACAGTAGTCTAGCCTTGAGGTGACCATCGCATGGATCACTGTGGCCAGGTCTTCGCGGTCGAGGAAGGGAGCCAACTGCCAAGCCTGCCTCAGATGGTAAAATGCAGACCTGGCAGTGGCTGCTACCTGGGCCTCCATCGTTAAAGAGGAGTCCAGGAGCACTCCCAGACTCCTAACCTCCGACGCAGGCACCAAAGGCACCCCATCGAAGGTCGGGAGAGGGAGCCCCAACCCCAAGCCGTTTCGACTCAGGCCCAGGACCTCCGTCTTCGCCGGGTTTAGCTTCAACCGGCTCAGCCTGAGCCACTCAGCCACGGCTTGTAAACCCTGGTACAGATCTTCCGGGTCAGAGGCCGCCCGGCCGCCCAACATCAGATAGAGCTGGGTGTCATCTGCATACTGATGACAACCCAGCCCATACCTCCTGGCAATCTGGGCAAGAGGGCGCATATAGATGTTAAAAAGCATCGGGGAAAGCACTGCCCCCTGAGGCACACCGCATTCCAGCGGGTGCCTCTGGGACTGTTGCTCCCCTATTACCACTCTCTGTCCCCGGCCTTGGAGAAAAGAGGCAAGCCATTGAAGGGCAAGCCCCTGTATCCCCATGTCGGGGATACAGTTTAGGTCATTACTGACAATGACCTAAACTGTGAGAAAAAGGAGTAACCCAGCAGAATGAGCACTGGGGACAACGGAGAGAAAGCTTCTGCAAAGTGGTCCAGCATTGTAGAGTGGATCAGCAAAGAGCTGCAACTGTTGCTTTTTCCATTCCCATTTTAAACCACAAAGATTTCCTGCAAAAGACTAGCAATGGAGGATAGGGTAGTGACCACTGAATCCCATGAGAGAGGGTGCAGTTCTTGGCTCATAACTTAAGAACGTTGATCTAGAATTTAGCTGAGGGCACAATAAAAAAATGGAAGAACTGGTTGCATTTGGTGACACATGGAATATTCTACCAGTGTTTGTCAAAGAAGAGACAACAAGAATAGCTTCAAAGACAAGAAAGAACAACATAACATTAGTCCAATCTCCTAAGGCTGCTGCCACACACGCTAAGTAATCCACTTTCAATCCACTTTCAGTGCACTTTCAAAGTGGATTTTGCCAGTTCACACAGTAAAACTCCACTTTGAAAGTGCACTGAAAGTGGATTGAAAGTGGATTACTTCGTGTGTGTGGCAGCAGCCTAAGTAAACCAGGATAATACAACTTACTCAAGGATTAATTCTAACTCCTAAAGCAGAAGTGATAAAAAGTTTAGAATAAAAGAAATACCTATGGGATTTAAAGTTTTCTGATAAAAGAGAACTCACCCCTTGCAACACAACCTTTTCCATGTGCAACTTTTTCTCTTGGCCAGAAAGAGACTGATGGCTATGCCTGGATCCACACCTGTTGGCAGGTGCAAAGGCTCTGATACTTCCCAGGGAACAAGTGGGCAGAGGGTGTGTTTACATCCAGTATGCTGAGACAGATCTTTAACATTTTGTATCTTGTTCTCTGGGACCGAAATGGTAGCTACAACCCTAACAAATCCTTGCATTTTATTTTATTAAACAGTTGCTCTCCAGCAATTCCATTCTCCACTGCCTTTCAAAAGCTTCTCCTCAACAAGACTGGAGCCTCTTTTGAACAGCATTTCCTACCTACGAGCTTTAAATGCTATAAACCACTGAGAAATATTCCTACTATTCCTCCCACCTGACCCCACCACTTGTCCACCTTTATCTTCTCACCTCTGATGGGGTGATACTTGTGTCCCACTGGCAGCAGGAAGGAAGAAGGAAGGAAGAACAAGATTAATAGGACAGGAGGCCTAGCAGCTGCAGCTTTCAACACCCAGAGTGTTTACAGGCTTCAGCAATCTTCCTTCCCACCCAACAAAATAAAGGCTATTCCTTCACATCTTCTTCCCAGTGGGTGGGGTAGCAACAGTCCTTCTCATGCAGGACTGGAACAACTAAATCTTGAACTTCCATGCATGTAACAGCCCTGTGACAGGGAACAGTTTGACAGGTATGATTCCTCCCACCCCACCCCCCTTCAAAACTGTACAAGAGGATCTGTTCTCGATTAATGACTTCCTGCCGTGCAACTATGGAAGTAACAAGAGCTCACTTTGTGTCATAAACTGGCAACCTCACGCAGGTTGACTTGTCCATGTAGTCTCATTTCTGAGAAACAGGAGACTCTTTTTCTTGGTGTCTGTCCCTATCCTGCCCTCAAAGGCTGTCAAACCCCTGGAAGTCTTGATGGACAAAGTTTCCCTGTGAGACTCTGCTGGGTGCTCTTTCTAGGGAGCAAATGAGCCCGCAGGGGGTTGTTTCCCATCTAGCTGCAAGTTTATTTTATTAACTGAGTCAAGTGGATTTATGAACTAATGAATGGTATGAAGAAGAGATTTGCAACATTTTGTCTTCAGCATGAATCATGAGCAAAGCCTAGGGTTTCCTTACCGTTTTCTTTTTTAAAGGGAAGGAAAAAGCAAAACTCCCAAGATGAGGAAAGCTGCACCAGGCAGAGAAAGTCTTGTCATGCTTGGGGCAGAATCACTCCAATCATTCATGAAGCCCCGGGTCCCAAGAAGGTTCCTACTTGCCCGATTCCCACATTCCAAACAGCCCGGCTCCTGCTCCCAAAGAGAGCTTCTTTTATCTGCTGTTTCTTGCTTCACTGAGCCAAGTCGGGGCCCTTTTGTTTTTCCATAGATTGCTGCCCTTTGTTCTCCCAAGTTTTCGCTCCCTTTGCATTAAAAGGAGGGAGGGGGAAGAGAAACCCTCAGCTGAACTGAAGCGGAAGCTGGACCTGGGGGGAAGACTCCCCCATTCCAGCCACTCACAAGTAAACTTTGGGATGTGTGTGAAATTTTTGTGGGGTGGGAGATACGAGACATTACAAATAAACACAGAACCCAGGAGACTGAGTGCAGAGGTAAGAGAGAAAACACAAGCAGCTTAAATTTGTTTCGGAGGAGGGTCCGGAAAGAACAAGAAAACCTAACTTCCTTGCCATCTGCCCTGGTTGCACAGGAACCTGAGTTGTTGTGCAGAGTGTATTCTTAAAACTCCACAGGAAGACAGTGATAGCGTGGGCTCCCAAAACAGCAAACTCTCCACCCAATTTATTTTTGTATTTTAAACTATTTCATGTTTTGGGGTGAAGGGGAAAACTCCCTGACTGTCCAATAAATCGCCCAACACAAACCCAACAACCATGCAGCATAACTCTAATGGGATGCAAGGGTCCTGTTGAAAACCTCGCACCTTGGATTTGTTCTATCATCACTGAGTTCAAGGGGAAACCACTTCGTTGCAACTTGATATTAAAATCCCTCCCTTTTTATTTTCAAGAAATCCATTTTCACCTCCCTCCATCACTGTTCCCTTTTCTCTCAGCAGCAGGCTGAATAAAGCTACTATTCCATTTGTTGGACAACTTGGAGCTTTCAAAGTATCATTAGCATGAGAATACATGGTGTTGCCGTTTGCTGACAAAGCATAAGTCTCCAGGGCCCCTTATGGACAAACACACTTGTAAACAGAAAGAATGCTGGCTATTGTTCCTAGCCCTCCCTCCCCCAGTGCCTCCGGAGGGGCTGGTCCCCACATCTTTACCCTCTCTCCCCCTCCACCCCCCATTTTGTACACCTTAATAGAAACATAATTACGAGGCAGCAGGAGCAACAAAACAAAACAATTGGCCTGAAAGTAGAAACTTCAGGGAGGGGCAGACTAGGAGGGAAAGTGGTTTTCCTCTGATTTGGAAACAGGGCAAGAAGCAAAGACTGAGGCTGTGGACAGTTTCCCAAATTCTGTGGGGTAGGCTGGAGGATGCAACACTGTCATGCCACCCACTTGCTGCAACCCCTTCCTAAGTTTGGCCTTGCAGAATGGGGGTGGGGTGGGGGGCTGGAAGCAGTGTCGCTTTGGCTACATTATGGAGGGATGGGGAGAAGGAAAGCCACAGAGTCTGGGTGGTACTAACTTCTGCTCTGGAGCAATATCATAGCACACTTTGTCATGTACCACATCAACCTCCTAGAAAAGATGCCAATGAAAAACGTCTGCTTGAATACAACAAGAGTCATTGTCCTCATCTCTCTTACAAATTACCTTGAGGCAATCCAGTTTTATCAGCCTCTGTTTCCCCATACACACAGTAATACCAAATGCACAATGAATGTCTGGCAAAAGATCTTGAAGGCACTGGGTAACAAGTAATCTTTCCCAAAGGGGCCAAGGACCCAAATACCCAATAAGGTCCTATTACTATCTGAACAGGAATACTTAAGTTTTGCCAAATGCTTTTTGAAACATATCTCTTAGTAGAGGCCCACCTCCAACATCCTCAATTATGGTCTGTAACAAGAAAGACCTGCCAAGGCCAACCCAGTCTAACATGAAAGGCACACAGGTTAATCCAGCTCTGACTTCATGGTGGAACAGAACTTTGGCATGGATAATGGAAGATTAAGATGTCACCAGTTTCATCGGATAGGCTGCTACTCACTTTATTTCCCCTGTGCATCCTCCTTAGCATGATCCCCACCTCCCAATCTGCCCGGTGATGGCAGCCAAGCAATCCTGTCATGTTCAGGTGCCTTTTCCCTTGTTGCATGCTGCATAATGCACAAGAGCCTGATACACCATAATGACTGAGAACATGAGCTATAAACTGAAAATCCCAAATCAATCTATAAATGAACTCAACATGAGACCTCAGGCAAGAACCTTTCTCTAAGCCTCCGCACTGCTCCCTTTAATGTGGAAAGAGCACTATAGTCACATCTTACAAATTTGTTATACAGATTACTGCAATTACACAAGTGAATTGCTTTCGGCATTCGGGGAATGTGCTATAAATTACCACTACAACTACTACTTCACATCTCATGGAAGTGCCTCTTATTAGCTATAAGGGTCCCAAGACTGGGGTAAATGGCTGGGGTGGTAGTATGCCTGTCCCGTGAAAGAGGCAGAGGAGACAACCAATGGCTTCAGGTGTTTCCAACAGAACTGCACAGGGTCACCAGAAAGTCCCAGTTCTTTTGCTGGCTGCTTAAACCACCACAGATATCCTCCTAAAACAAGATTTGCCTCACAGGACAATCATACCAGGGCAGAAAAATCTGCCAGAAAAGCAGGTACTCACGGGAGGTAAGCAGAACCCCCTTGCAGCTTGGCTCCATCCCAGAAGCAGTCCAATGGAGTTATGATAACACAAGGAAAGAGCTTCTCAATCATCTGGGGATGACAACAGGGAAATAATCATGAAGAAAAGCCACAAACTCAAGCACAACAAGAAGGTCCTTTGTCACTCTGGGGGTCCAGGGAGCCAGGAAAGTTATGTGATTTTTTTCATTTGATGTTTAAATTAGGGTTGTGTGAGGGAAAACCTCAAGGGACTATTTGCCTGAGGGCTTTCAGTAGCCCTGAATAACCCTGCATCAACTCACTTTCACAATCCACCTCACTGTGACTTTCCCCTTCTTTGACCTGCCCAAACCCACACCTAATTTCACTACTGACATATCTTCTCTACAAATCTTGTCCTACTGTAAAAAGGTAAAGGTAAAGGTTCCCTTGCTTGAAAGACAGTCGAATCCGACTCTAGGGTTGCGGTGCTCATCTCTGTTTCAAAGCCGAAGAGCCAGCGCTGTCCAAAGACGTTTCCATGGTCATGTAGCACAGCATGACTAAACACCAAGGCCTAATCAACACACATTTTAAATACCCCCCCCCCTTTTCTCTTTCTTGCAGTCTTTTGGAGTAGCAAACTGTTCTTGGATCCAAAAAGCACCATCGCCAATGCAAACTCCTGAGTTCAAACAGGGAAAGCCCGGAAACCACATCCTGGCTAAATGAGCTAATCCAGGCAAGTAAAGTCTTCATTCTGAGAACCAAACTACACATGACGGAGCCTCCTTGTGTCTGACACAGGGATGCCATGCCACCACTATTTTAAAATCTACAAAGGATAATTTAAAAATGCTGTGAGGTCCGCAGCATAATAGGACAAGGAGTCCTTGTCCCCCTCCCCTACGCCTTTTCAGATGCCAAAACAGCTGCAGTGTGGGGTGGTGGACTGATGTGGCGGTTCTGGCACTCAAAAAGACATAAGGAGCAGGATTGGGTCCTCACAACAGTTTTAAATCTCCCACTTTAGGCTTTAAAATGGCCGTGGTGTCGCCATGTCAAACACAAAGACATAGTCCACATCTACATTGGCCCTGAGGGCACCAGCCTGACACAAGGGAGGGTTTCCTTGCTAACTAAATGAAAGGATTTTGCAGAACAGTCAGCCCTGGTCTTCTGTTATCCTGGCATGCAAAGTGGGGATCCCTTATCACCAAAGGGCAAGTTCTCTTGAAAATGGACAAAGATCAAATGGGCTTTCCCCCCTTCCTACTCCCCAAGGACATAACTAAAAAGGAGATTAAAGACTCAGAGTTAACTGTTATCTCTGCTGTGCAGGAATGATTGTTACCAGAGTGAGAAGTCCAACAAAAAGGAATATGTTCACTCTGTGCAGAAGCACTAAGGTCTCTGCGCCCAGAAATATGCTCTATTGTGACAGCATTCCTGTTTTGAAGCTTGCTTCCTATACCCATAGCAACTGGGATATCCCCTCCAGAGCCCACCCCATTCTCCAGCCCATCAGCACATCCCCAGGGAATTAGTATGGTATCTAGCAAAGATAATTTCCCCAGCTGATCCACATGATAAAGGGAGATTGGACTCTCTAAAGCTCCTACCCCAAAAATCTTGTTCGTCTCTAAGGCACTACTGGACTCAAATCTGCCCCTCTCCCATAAGTACTTGTGCATTCCTTTCTCTGTATACGTATTTGTGCCCTTGGTGACTCACCCGTGCAATCATCCCATTCTCAATTATGGGGACTCCAGACTTGTAGCATATTTTGTTGAGATCCCAAGACCTGAGAAAAGAAGCAGAAAATATGAACATCAGGACTTTGCAGGAGTCCCTGAAGTGGGGTCTGCATTAATAGATAACACAAGATAGCTAAATGGAACCTCCATGTACCAAAGCAATATATCATTGAATGCCAGAAGCTGGGTTCAGAAAGTAGGGGAAGGATATCACGTTCATGCCCCCCTTATGAGTGCCCAAAGAAACCTGGCTGGCCACTGTTGGTAACAGAATGTTGGACTAGATGGTATAATCCAGCAAGGAAATCTTTATGTTCTTAGCACTTTAGTACAGTTTCCATTCTTTACTCACTTTCCATACAGTAAGACTTGTACTTTGCTAGCAGCCAGAGCAGCTTCAAGATGCATTCCTAAGGCCTCTGGGTTCAGGATGTTTTCTCCTTCCTGTTTGGGAGTTTGTATCAGCATCTGGGATGTGTAGAGAGATTCTTCTCCTAGCTTCTCTTTTGTATACCGGAGCTCCTGGCTGACACGGCTGCCCTCTGTAGAGAGAGAAAAAGAGACCCTAGAGTTACTGTGCCACTCATTTATCTCTTCCCCTTTAGATGGATACCTCAGAGTATCACCATAAGAGACTCTAGAACTGAGAAAGTCTCCATAGGTTCACATTATACATATTAGTAATCCTTTAACACACTTAAAACAGTTTTCTTCACATTATCAAGGTGCTTGAAACGCTGCATTTTCCCTCAATTTGAAGAAGACTGTTGAGTGAATTATTGTATTTAACACAGATTAGTTGTTTAATTCAAATGCATGCTTACACCAAAATAAGTCCTAGTTTATTCACTAGGGCTTACTCACAAGCTCTGTATCCAACCACCTTTCTTTTTTTACAATTATTTTATTGTACTATTCATATTTACAAAATATAACAAATGTGAAAAACAAAAACAAACAAACACTAAGAGAAAAAACCTTCCTAGTACTAGATGGTGGCTGAAAAGTTGAGTGCTGGCTGGCAAAACATATACATGGATTTCAAGCAGCATAAAGAGCATATGTACTTAATTGATTTCTGCTAATCTAATTTGATGAGTTCGTTTTTCCGACACCACCACCTCTCAAAGACAAGTTTCCTTAAGGGGGGGACAGTGACACCCATCAGTTCTACCTAGCCCCTGCAGACTCCCATGATGCTGTTCGTTGAGGGTCTGCTGATTCCCAGGAACAAAATTTTGGGTGGCTTGTTGGTGGGTTGCAGCAGGAGTGAGGAATCAATGGAAAACACCACCCACTTTTAAGAAAAAGTTTTCTTATCATGTCTGTCCACAAGATATGTGATGCTCAGTCACATGGAATTTTTCCTCAGAGTTCCTTAGCAGAAGACATGCATGCAGGGAAGTGGAATCTTCTTAACTCCTCTTCTCTGAAGGGTTTCTGCTAAAAACTATTCCCCAAAGCTCCTTTTCCCTCATGGGGACAACTCTTGGCGTGGGTGGGGGAGGAAGCACTGTACAAGATAAGGGATTGTTTTGAACAGAAAAACCACTGCAAAGGAAAAGGTTAAGTAGCCCCTCTTCCCATATAAGTATTTTGCTGTAGAGTTTTATTTTAAAAAGAGAAAATAAAGAAAGTGGTGGTAGGGGGCAGGGTTTACACATGGCTGAGCATTTGGTACAGTTTGGCGCACTGATTTTGGATCTGCAGCCAGTACAAAGTGATGTGGCTCACCTACTGTTTGGTGTAGTGTATGTAGTGGTTAAGTGCGTGGACTCTAATCTGGGAGAACTGGGTTTGATTCCCCACTCCTCCACTTGTACCTGCTGGATGACCTTGGGCAAGCCATAGTTCTAGCACAGCTGTTCTTGAAAAAGAGCAGTTTCTGTCAGAGCTCTCTCAGCCCCACCTACCTCACAGGGTGTCTGGTGTGGGGAGGGGAAGGGAAAGGAGTTTGTCAGCCACTCTGAGACTCCGAATGAAGGGCGGGGTATAAATCCAATCTCCTCCTCCTCTTCTTCTACTGGCAGAGCTGAAGTGACCAGGCAAACAGCATAGTAGGATCAGTGAGTATGACTAATGGGAGTCATCATAAACTGGAATTTATGGGTTTGTTTTCTTCCTTGACAAGGCCAAGGAAAATGTACTATTTCCCCAAATTCTACTCTACACAAACCCTTAGTATAGCAAGATCCAGTAGCACTCCTAGTAGCATCCTTGCAATAAAATGCCTCCCCCTCCCCTTGTTTTTTCTTGCTCTCTCCATTTTCACAAAACATTTGTTGGGCATTCTATGGCCACAGTCTTGAAGAGCTGCTATGATGAGAAGGAGAACCAACCATTCGCCTCCACCCATGGGATTTCGCTGTATTTATACCTCAACCCCCCAGTGATTACCCCATAGCTGCTATCTTGCTGTAACTTTTCATGTTGTCTTAAACCACTGATTTTCCAATTTATATCATTAGGAAAGCTTTTCCACATCATCCTTGTTTGATCCAGAATCACTGTATATCTGCCATGTATCTTCTGTATATGACAAAGGATTCTGGGACATATTCTAGGGATCACAGCCAGTTAACTCAAAGCAGTGCTCAGGTTTCCTGGGCCTCATCTAGGGCTTCCAAACCCCAGGTCAGGTCTGGGGTTCTCTCAGAATTACAACTGATCTCCTAACTACAGAAATCAGTTCCATAGAAGAAAATGGCTGATTTGGAGGGTGGATTCTATGGTATTATACCCCACTAAGGTACCTCCTCTCCCCAAACACTGCCATTCAGGCTCCCCCCCCCAAATCTCCAGGAATTTTCCAACCCAGACTTGGGAGTCCTATCACCCAGCAAGCTTCCATGGCAGAGTGGCGATTTAAACCTCCGATCATAGTCCAACACTCCAACTGCTACACAACAGTGGATAGGGTTCCAATAATGGTTCATATTCAATAACTGCTGTCAGGGGTCATTTCGTAGAAAAAGAGCTAGGGGAACTCATTAGCATAACTCATTAGCATATGCCACACCCCCTGACATCACCGGAAGTGTGTCATAAGGCCACACCCCCTAACATCACCGGAAATGTGTCATGAGGCCACACACCCCGCCCCCAACGGTCCCGGCCGCCACCGCCTGCCTTGCAGCTCCACTGCCGAGCCCCATGAGGGGCCCGGCGGTGGACCTGCAAGGCCGGCGGGAGTGCGAGGAAGCCCCCGCCAAGGCCCTCCCTGGCCCCAGGCAGGCAGGGGTGGGGAGAGGTGGGGAGGAAGCAACTTACCCTCCCTCTTCTCCTGCCTCCTCCTGGCTGAATGAGGGCCGAAAGCGGGGCAGCCGGAAGCAGGGCTTCGTCATGTGCCTCGCCCCCCGTACCTCACCCGGGGGAACTGTGTTCCCCCGCGTTCCCCCCTAAATGACCTCTGACTGCTGTGCACATCTTTTTAAAACACTACTAAGCATAGGGTTGCCAGCCCCCTGACCTGGTGGGGATTCCCCTGCTTTTGTGGGCTCCTTCCTGCTACCAGCCAGCTGGCTGGCAGGGGAAACCCCGCCCACAAATGCCCTGAAACATCGCACGATGATTGAACCATTGACGTCTCACAGCGACACTCTAGTTTTGGGACAAAACTCTATGGTAAAATTGGGCTCAAACCACAGAGTTTTGCCCAAAAACTAGAGTGTCACCAGCAAAACAATGACATCACTTCTGAGTGATGTCATCATGCTGCATACTTCCAGGAAAGGCCTATGGATCCCCCCGCCGGCAGAAAGGTAGGACCTGGCAACCCTAAATAAGCCTGTCACCCTACCCTCTTCTTGCAAAGTCAAATCCTCCACGGTTCACCTTATTTTTAAACTCATAAACAGAAAAACTATGATATGAAAAGAAAACCCTCAGCCTAATAATTCTATTGCTTACTGGTATTTTTTTTTGTTCTAGGTATTTCATCTGAAACTATCAGTGCTATCCCTAAGCAGAGTTTTACCCTTTTAAGTCCATTGCAGTCAATGGGCTCAGAAGGGTGTAGCTTTGCTAAGAATTGCATTGACTATTTCTTATCATCAGACTTGGCTTACACTTCCATTTTTACTAAGAACTCAATGCTGAGACCAACAATTTTAAGTTTCTCCTTCTCTGGCCTGTTATTTTGTGACATTTTGTAAGTATAAATTCTAATTCTAATATTTTGTGGTTGCTGAAAAAGTAAAAAAAGAGAAGAAAAACTGACTGACAGATATACTTTTTGTTTCCATCCTGCCCTCTCCCAAGGAACAGCTGGGATGCCAATGAGGGAGGAGGCCATGCCAAAGTACACAGAGAGGGGACATACACTGTGCATCTGAGATGAGGAGAGCTGGGAGGGGAATATCCTCTCAGAGGCTGAATCCAAACCATTGGGAGGCCAGGCACCAAGAGTCATGCTGAGCTGTGCTGATCTTGACTAGGCCACCCAGGAGAGAAACCATACCAACAACGAGAATGTGAAGGAAGGGTGGGGAACACATGCGGTCCAAACTTTGAAACCACAGGCAAAGATGGATCCTCAAAATTGGAGGAGTCCTTCATCAAGCAGACTTAAAGCACACAGACCAGTTAACAAATGCGGGGGGGGGGGGGGGGATGGCTTTGCAACTTAAAATGCCCAGGGCAAAGAAGCCTGCAAGGAGCACATGCCCCAACTTGGCAAGTCAGAAAACTTTGCTGACATCTGCACCTCTAGCAAGCCCCTTCAACTAAAGGAGAAAGTGCCTCAAGGCTCTGTCCTCTCAGCAACCTTCTCATGGCCTAGGCTGAAAGATAGTGAGGTGGATGGCGGAGGCATTTATTTATGTATTAGCAACTGTTGGAGCAGAAATGACAGTGCATATGCAAGTGTTGTGAAGAAAGGAAGAGAGAGGGAGATATTCCTTGTAATTAGGGTTAATTTGGAACAGGACAATCTGAAGCTTCAAAGGAGAATGAGGAAGCCTCAAATTCCAACACCCTAATTAACCAGGGAGCAACATGAAAAGACAAGGCAAAATGAGAGAGGCTGCCAAGAATGGTTTACATGGGGAGCTCACTTGTCTGGGGGTGGGGGCATTAAATGAGCTACCCTGTATGCCACAGCTCTCTCCCCCCCCCCAACAAGCTGCTCCTGCCCACCCCACCTTTCCCTTGCACTGAGAGAGCAGCATTGTTTGATGCAAAGCTGGGGGAGGGGACTCTGGGATACAGCGAGGTAGCAACAGAGAGCATGTTAATGAGGAGCCCTATGCAAATTCTTTTTTACTCCAATTAACAAAGGAAGCCCTCTCCTTTTTCATGCAAAAGGTCTCTCTCCATCCTGATCAACCCCCCAATTGTACTGCTGCTTTGGCTTGAAGTGTTAGATTGGATTATCCCCTATTCCACCCCACATACACTGCACACACATACACTCCAGTGTGATACCTTGCGCCGTTCCCACAGACTCCCCAAGAGTGTTCAAATATCTTCATAAAGGCAAGGAGGCAAACACTGGACCATGGCCCTGCAAATGCTGGGGGGTCTTCTAGTGCTGTAGATCTCC